TCTTAATAGTTAGTAAATTTTTTAAAAAGAGTAAATGTAGGATATTCAGCTCCTAGCAAGAACAGCGACTGACTCAACAAGAAAGTTTTGTCTTCCAAGATAGAGGGGGGACATACTTGTATGAACCTACAGCGTGACACATCCAACCAGAATGTTGCAGTGCCTCATGTTTCTGCTGAATCTCATCACTGGAAACCCAAATCTGAAACCGTGAAATACATTTGTAAATTTAAAAAAGAAACAGAATCCTCAACAATAAATATACAAATAATTCAAAATTACCTTGAAATCCCCACCATATGATGAACTGACAACCATACGACGGGTAGGATGGAAAGCAAGAGAAGAAATTCCAGCATCCCTATACAATAAATGAATATTCAGCTTCACAACTTTGTAGCATATAAGAGATTTTAAATTAAAAAGATACAAATTTTCCTCGTGCTTAATAAGTTTAGTAGCAATTGACAATCTATCAGAAGCGGGGTACTCAATGAATATCACAACTGAAGAAAATATCACATTCTGCCAACTACACTTTTCTAGGTAGAATCAGTCAGGTCCAAACCTGTGAGGTTCGTAAACAATGGTGGACATGGTGAAATTTTTGTTCTGTGACCCTGATGCCCAAAACTTAAGACAAACAAGACCACCTAATCCCTCCTCAGGCAGCTTAACTTCAACAGTGCTCATCATAGAGCCATCTCCAGATAGAGACACCAAAGTCACTATTACCTGTGACCACAATATCCCAAGATATGGTCCAATTAGTGATAAGATGTTTTAGTAGAATGTAAATAAATGAGATGGTGCTCTCAAGCTAGAAAGTAAAATGAGCAACTTACTCTGATTTCATCACCTGGTTGATGGTTTCTCTCACAGACTTGAACCTGCGAAATGCCCAATCCAAAATAACTTAACTCACATATAATCACTTATAATTTATAAAGAATAGAGCAATCTCTCTCTCTCTCTCTCTCTCTCTCTCTCTCTCTCTCTCTCTCTCTCTCTCTCTCTCTCTCTCTCTCTCTCTCTCTCTCTCTCTCTCTCTCTCTCTCTCTCTCTCTCTCTCTCTCTCTCTCTCTCTCTCTCTCTCTCTCTCTCTCTCTCTCTCTCTCTCTCTCTCTATACAACCACAACTACAAAAATATTTATCAACAAAATAATTTCACATAGCTAGCAGCTTTGGCTAGTACATGCACCTAGGAATTTATGTTGTGGGTATTTATTTACCAATGAACAAACTCCCTTCCAAGGACAATTAAAAAACCCAGAAAGCAATAAAAAGTTCTCTGTAGCAAATTCAACAATTATCCATTGAAACATCAAATAAACAACAAAACATCTTCACCTCAGAAACTTCACGGTCATCAAATAAGCTGTAGAATTGGATGCGATAATTCTCTGTACGCAAGGCAACCAACCCAGCAGTGTGATCAAAGGCAAACCTGTTGCATATTCCTTCATATATCTCTGGAACTGAATAAGGAAGCTGAAAAGTAAACAGTTCTAATTAGAAGCTTTGACATTAGTTTATTCCTCACATAAAGATGCTGGAACTAACTTCACAGGCAGATTCACAAAAGGTGAATGAATCCATCAAAACATTCAGCAGCTATCCTGGCGCATTCATAAAAAAGGTAGCTTAAGCACTAGCTCACTCTCTCACACATGCAATGATGCACACATTAGCATTCAACCTGAATACAGGTTTAGACATTTAAGGCTCATCTTAAGGCAAGGCAGTTATAGAATCTCAGCCCACTATTATTAAAAATTTCATCATGCACTTACATCCTGGTATATCCATCAAAACATTCAGCGGCAACACTGGTAAATTCATACAAAATGTAGCTTAAGCACCAGCTCATTTAATCTCGCATATGCACACATTAACATTCAAGCTGGATTCAGGGTTAGAGCAATTTTAGCCTCATCTCAAGGCAAAGCCGTTCTAGAATGTCTCCATCCTATATTAAGTAGAAATTTCATCATCCATATTCATCCCAGTCAAGGTATGGTGCAGACTTTTTGATGTCCTTTTTATCACACTTGCCTCACAAACAAAGGACCAGTTGACTCTCGCCTGCTCATCAATATGCACCATACCTGTAGCCAGGTCCTAATGATGTGCACTGTCAATAGTGTATCCTACTAAACTGTGTTTCTTACGAAAACATAATGTTTTTACTAAAAACTGTTACCTCAATCTACTAAACGTTTATAATAAGTCAATAAACACAATAGTAGAGCCTTGAGAGACACAAACCAGAATTTCCAATTGAAACAAACCTTGATCCCTGAAATAGACTTCACGATTTCCATTAAGGGCATTTTTAGTATATGAATTTGATTATCTGCACAAGATATCTAAAAACCATATATCAGTGAAACCAGTAGAATTCATTAGTTCCTCACCACAGAGAATGCACGAATATGTTAATTGAAAATCTTCTTACAGAAGAAAGTGAAGGATCTGGAGAATCAGTCAAATATAGAAGCGGAGATCCAATTCTGGGCAAGAATTTCTTTTTCCCTGTGTCTAGCTGCCAGACCACAAGAACTCCTTCCACTCCGCCTGGATACCACAGAAGTGTTAATATATATAGGACACTTATAGGACACTTACAAATTAAGAAATTCGGACAAAGAAATGGGGGGCGGGGAGGGAGAGATATGATGAGGAAAAGGAAAGACATATTCCAGGTCCATTTTCACCTGCAATTGCTTAAAATCCACATACCTGAATATAAATAGGCTCCGTCAGAAGAGAAAGAAAGGACACTTATTCCAGCAGGATGCCAATGCCATGTGGTGCAAGACTCAGCATCATCATCTCCCCTAACTCCAGGTCTTTCTTCCTCATTATTCATTGATGTTCCATTTTCTAGTTTGCCACCGTCAGAAAACGTACGATTACCAAACCCTCTCCAGGTTAGAATTCTCCCACTTACATCACCTGCGGCAACAATTGTCTTGGTCGGATGAAATGCAAGAACCGTCAAGTTTCTTGTATGATGCAATGTAATCTTCTTAGAGACTAAGAGTTTAGAATCTATAGCAGGGACTCTCCATATATGAATCTTCCGCTTGTTCCGGATGCCAAAGAATTTTCCCGAGGGACTGACAGTTATAGCCTCTGGTTCTTGAGTCTACCAAATTGAGTGATAATATCAATATCAAATTGGGTATAAATACATCAGCAGACAATATATAAAAATACATGATAACAGATAGCTATCAACCAATACGAAAAAGGACTAAACACACAAAGTCATAGAGCTTTTATGTAATGAATAATATCATAGCACTTCATTTTTGTTTCCTTCATATACGCAATAGAAAAAACCTAAAAGCAAATAATTTGTAGTAGATTCTTGCACCTCTGCGAAAACACCGCCACCCAAACGAGATTCAGTCAAATCACACTTCCGAATCTGCCCACGCAAAGCCTTCGGTGCATTTGCTTGCGCTTGGGTATTCTCAACAGACAAGTAAGCGAAAACATGAACCGGCAACGCACTTTCTTGCATTCCTTTCTCCGGTTGGCCCAAAAAGGACGGAATAACCTGAAAATCAAAACCGAACAACGCTACCCATGAACATTCTCTCGGTTCCCAAACAGAAAATAAAAGAATAACAATAAAAAAAGCAACCAAGCTAAATAAATACCATAGAGAAAATGGGCATTTTAATATCAATGGTCTTCATCAACTCTGCGACTGCAAAGTCCCAATAGCGGATGGTGCCATCGAGGGAGGCAGTCCAGCAAAAGCTCAGAGCTTTGTTTCCGGGAACTACTATGACGGAGGTAACGAAGGCATTGTGAGCCTCCAAGGACGCTATCTAAATTAAACAAATAAAACCAAATATTATCAGAACAGGGTGGGTATGGGAGCGTAAATTGAGGAGGAAGAGAATGGCAGAACTGGAAACCTGTAAACCGGTGGCGGTGCTAAAGATGGAGACGACGGTGCCTGTGCAGACGAGGAGGCGCTTGGCGTCGGTGGAGAAGGCTGGAGGTGCTGACACGTAGCTCTTGCCGCCCCCAATCATCTCTCTCTCTCTCTCTCTCTCTCTCTCTCTCTCTCTCTCTCTGTGCAAAACTGTTTGAGTTTGAGAATTCAGAGAGTCTCAGTTGAGCAGCCTCCCTTTTGGTGCTTTGGAGGGTTTTTGTTTTAGGGGTTTAAGACTTTGGCTACTGAGAATTCTTCTACATTTTTTAACGAAGAAGCCGCCGAGGGTCCCTTCCAGCTTTTTCTCATTTTTTTTAATCTTTTTTTTTTTAAACTTTAGGGCCCACTCTAAGGCCCAATTAAACAAGGAAACCACATAAGAATGGGTTTGGCCCAATCACAATTCTTTGAGAAATTTTCACCACACAGTTTTTACTCTTCCCATCAAAGAAAGAAAAATCAATGGAAGCTCCCTAGATTTATTGGCTTTGTGATATAATTAAAGGTTAGTAGGTCTTAGGTTTGAGGACCGGCACAGTTCGAATCAACGTATTACCAGAAAAATTAATGTCGGGAAACACAAATGGGGAAATCAAGAGAGCTAGGAAAATGGTCCGGTAGGGGCAATTAACGATTGGTGATTTATAGTTGGGAAAAAAAAAACATACCAGAATATAACAGTTTGAGAAAAGGAAAAAAAGGATCATTTGAGTACAGAGTAGTTGATAGGTCCAAGTTAAAGGGATATATTTTGGATGGATATGAAATTATGATCCGAAAATTTTCAACTTTGGCACGCCCAAATCATATACGACATCCGAAAGTTCCAAAATACAAAACAAAAGTTTCAAAACAAAACCGAATTACATGGGAATGAAGCAATGGAAGGAAAGAGTTGGCCAGTCTCTTATTTAGGCGTTGTAACAACACATGCAAATATTATTATTATATTTGAACCCCATGTACTGATCATCACATCACATCTCTCACCCTAGATAAAATGATATTAACACAATGGAAGGTAATGCTCTTCCATAAACACAATTGAAGAAGAAAATGGCATTTCATTGATTAGTTATCATATTTACAGTCACATACTTATATACAACCAAGTGATCCTTTAACTAGACCAACAGAATTATTGCTCATCAATACATAATCCTCTTAACTTTAACTATAAATACAATTGAAAATATATTTAAAACTATATCCACAGTGCTCTTCTATTATTATGTTTCCTTCCGATATCCTTCTCTTCCAGTGAGCCGGCAGACTTGCTTCCTTCTGCTGCTGGCAGCTTCCTCTCAGAAATGATACTGCATGTATGGTTTGCCTAGATGAAGGGAAATCGATTTTGTGCAAATATATCCTTTGACTCGTAGCATGTTCCACCTAATCTGGATGATTATGAAGGATATGTATCATTCAACTTTTTAATGGCAGGGAGTTGCCAAAGGTGATTATGTCTGTAGCCTAGAAAAAGGAAACAGAACAAGAACAAGAGATCTAATGAGATTCGCGGATTTAAAAATAAATAAAAAATTAAGACTAGGGCATTTCTCTTTTGACAGCTTCCACCATGTTTTTGCAGGATTTGGTTGTTCATGGATTTTGGGATAGATTTTGAGAACCAAATTCTTACTTGCAAGCTAAATAATTAAAAACAATTAGTAAAACAAGGATCATAAAACCTTGAAAGTACAATGTTATAAATTCAAGAGAGTTGGTAGATAAATGAAAATTGAATGATAAGCAAATACATACCTAGGCTCTGGTAAATCATTGATTCGATGTTTTGGAAAAGGGAAAGGCAAGCGCTTCAATATGAGCATCATTGTCCCCTTCATCTTGGCCTTCAGCCACCTCACAAAATTCACCATTTTCTCTCTGTATTTCGTATTGAACCCTAAAACTTAATCTGTAATCAGACGAATAGAAAGGACTGGTTTGGTTACATGATACACTGTCTCAGAGTCTTTATCAGGTGATCCTTATAGATGAGGAATTTTGGGTTCAAAGGATCCTCAAACAAGAGACGAATAGAAGGGAGAGATTTTTTAGAGCACTGTACATTCAAGGAAATCTTCACTCTCAGAAGGCAGGCCCAATTCCTGATGGCTGGAAGTTGAAGAGTGAAGTCCAAAAGGACGGATCTAAAACCTCGTGCTACTGGTATCCAGCAACTGGTCAGCACTTTTTCACCTATGAACCTGATATTAGGAGCAGTGACCTGATAAATAAACACATTAAAAAGTTAGAATATTCTGAAAATTAAATTAGTGATATAAACCTAGCTACAAAAATCAGAGGTGTAAACACTGAAACTGAAAATGTTCTATAGCAACCAGAGCATTAAAAGTATTTCAAGGATTTAAAGCTGACATTAATTATATGACATCTACAGCTCAAGTTTGATAATGAGCTCGAACCCTCAGAGTTATTGAGTTAGAAAATTAAGATTTATTTCATCACAACCTGGTCCTTAATTGAACTAAACCTTTATATTTGCAAACAAAACCAATTTGATATCACTTGTATTCAAAATATTCTATATAAATACAAAAGACTAATTTTCTTTTTGTAGAAAGAAAGAAATTAAATAATATATATATCAAAGCCTACCGATAAAAGTTGACATTTTGGAAGCAGAAAATCAAGAAAGAAATTAAAAATAATTGGGTCTATTCAAGATTGACCCAAGCAAGATGTACCCCAAGAAAGATACTTTTTAGCATATTAAAAGCATCAGGACACTACAAAAAATAGACCCAATTGGGACTCTTTTTCGGAATCAGATATATAGGCAGTCCAATTAACCACAGTTGGCAGCAGCATTAGATTTTTCTTCTCTGAATCCTAAGAAAGCTTCTGTGCTCAGAGGCTAAGGTTTCATAAAACAGAAACGGGACTTCAACCATACATATGAGAGTAAATTATGATAAATTGGAACCATGCTAAAAAAAATAGGGTACAACTAAAAATGATCATGAAGCCTAAAGAGGGTAAATTTACTGAGGTATACCTCTCTGGTAAATCAAGGATTCAATGTTTTCCAACCCTATCCAGGTCAGGCTCAGTAACAGCTCCCTCATCCTCTTCATCTTGGCCTTCGCACGTCTCACAAACTTTTACCATTTGCTCTCCCTATTTCTGTCTCAGTGGAACCCTAAAATTTAATCAGTAATGAGAGGACCAAAGAGGAGGGGAGAAGTTTGTGCGCATATCTCAGTCTCAATATGGTCAGTTTTATAGATGAAAAGGAGGGTTGTAAAAAAATTGGCTCATTTGAAATCAGGGACTGGTATTAGGGTTCTGAAATCAGATATGGGATGTTGTCTGCAGGTTTGGTAAGTAATGTTGTTACCTTAAAAAGAATAAAGAGAGGTTGCCAGGTGCAGGGTATGCTTCATTTCAAATTGGCAAGTAAATCTGTAAAATCTGGAAATTGAATTTCAAGCAGCTGTAAGTAAATTCTGCAAAAAATGATGTTATAAACATACTCTTGGTCTTGTAATCTTGTTTTTGGACATTAGAGCATCTCCAATGGGCTCTCTAAATGAAATCAATCCATGTAAGAAAGATATTATAGATGACTGGTTACAGGAAGGATTGAAGTTTTTTCTTTTTGGGGTTTCCAATACCTGATAAAAAAAATATTGACATCAATTCATGAAACAGCCATAAAATCACACAATAGATTTCAAAGCAAGTTCCGCAGAGGCATTTGAATGGGAAGACATGCACCCCCAAGTCATTCTAATGGCCATACCAGTTAATGAGCAGCAACCATATACTAACACCTGCAAGGCATTCCAATACACATATATTATATATACCAACACCAAAAACCATTCAGTTGGCGAAATTCCACTTTATATATTGGAAGGAACATCCATGCACCTTCATAAATGTATAAGCATATTGCATCTCATCCTTGTTCGTACTTGGTTTTGGACAACTTACATTACCAATTGCTTGCAAAACAAACCCAATGAATAAACTCAACTTTTGCCATGCAGCCGCCTCCAACTAAAATGAAAACCAATCATCCAGTAAAAATGAAGGTTAAAATTCTCAAATAGTTCAGTGTACATAACGATCATACAGATGATGAGTAATTTAGTAATGATCAATTCCATGATGCAAAATTTTCTTGTACCAAACAGAGCTCTAAAATTTAAGAGTTCCATAAAAAGTACGTAGGATTTTCTCAGAGGGAGAAAACAGTTCCCCCGTTGATACTCTTCACCCAAGTGCTCTGAGTTGCAAGAGGTCCAAAACGTATACAGTTCCAAAAATAATTCTGTGCTAAACCTATGATCATAACGAGAATAATTTCTCAACAAATTGCACCTAATTGACAATAAACCATAACAATCACATTGGGAAGAGACTACTTATCCAATTTAATTTGTATAAAATACCATCACGAGATCAATAAATCAATCAATTATCCAAAGCTTAATGTATCTCTACACGAGACTTCCACATAGTACTCAACACACAAGATGGCTAGTGACACAAATACACATGCTTTGTGAAGCAGATTCAGATATATAACTGATATTGATCAATACCTTAAGGGACAAAATTAAATACCCCTTTGTGCACGCATTTATGAAAAGAAAACTACAATTCGGGCTTATATGAACATAATTGATCCGTTTTCCATGCAGGAGGTACATTGAAACGCTGCAACAAAAAAGTTATTTTACTTACAACAGCCACTGAACATTGTTAGATTCGTTTTCTGTTGATACTAAAACAAGACTATTTCCAAAAACACACAAGACTGTTGCCAAGCCTATCTCGTAAAGAATAAATGCAGCATAGAAACACCAAACCCTAGTGACTTATCATTCAATAAAAAACAGACTTTGGTACAAAGCCTAAGGTACCTATTCTTAGAGGCAAACAGTACGTACTATGCCTAAATTGGCACTAAGCTTAAATTTTGTTTCTTTTTTTTAAAGAATTTCATGCTTTGAAAGCAAATAGGGATTGGAAGTGAACCGAAAGCTGGAGAGAGTCCACTGGTTTAGATTAAGACAATAATTCGTAGCTGCCACAGTTCCAAATATTTTGGATCAATACACCCCAAAAAGAAGTAAAGCTGATGTAATATACTTACAAGGAAGGAGGCTTTCTATGTATGTGTTAAGTCCGCCATACACATGTTGAAACAGATCTTCATTCATCAAATTCATCCCAAGTTTGGACTGTTCTGAAAGGAAGGATAACTGGCAAATGGTACACAGAGAGATCTTATGAGAGGGAAAATGCACTGTGATTGTTGAGGGGAAAAAAAGAGAGAGAAAGAATCAACAATCAGCATGAAAAAGAAAGGCCTTCATTGATTTATCATCAAATTTACAATCACATAATTATATAAACCAAGAGAGCCTTGAGCTCAACAGATTTATACCCCGTCAATAACCCATCCTTTTAAACAAGTATCATTACAATTGGATCTTGTTTACAACTTTATCAAGAATGCCCTCCAGTTGAGATGTTTGCTTCTCTTCAAGTGAGTTGGCAGGCAATGCCCTTAGCCTGAGTTAGGAAATGTGAATGAGTGCAAATGGCTGGCAGGGAGACATGAACGCTACCATACTAACCCCATGACAATAGCCACAGACAAAAATGGGAATGCATGCATTTAGGATTTGCATATACGAAGGGGACTTGATTTGCTGTGAGATATATATCATTGGACTCCAACCACGTTCTACCTAAAATTAAGGGTACGGTTCTACATGACCTGTTAGCAGGCCATTAAGTTCTCTGCCAATAGGTCTATTGAGTAAGCCAATGCAGTTGCACTGGCTTCACAGCTTCTTCTCCTAGCTCTGCTTATCATCAGCTCCTGCAATCAATATGACTGAAATTGAATTAAAATACAAAATACTCTATATACCGAAACATCAAATGTAGTCCGAAGATCTAGAGCTGAATCTATATGATGACAGTAGTTGATAGGTCCAAGTTGGAATATTCTCCATTCCCCTGTTGATTCTTTTAAACCGGGGACTGAGTTGCAAGAGGTATAAAGTTCCAAAAGGAAGTCTGTACTACAACTACCATCATAAGTATCACCATCTAGAAATACAATGAGAATGATTGGTTGAGTATTACCATCAAATAGACATTATACTAAAAATCACATTGAGAAGATTTACTTAATCCAATTTTACTTGTATAAAATATGAGCATGAGATAAAAAATTATACATTAATGAATATTCCAAAGCTTAATGTGTCTCTACATAAGTCCTCCATACAATATTCAGTACAAGATGACTAGTGACACAATTGCACATGCTTTGTGAAGCAGATTCATATATATAACTCATGTTTATCAATAAATTTAAAAATCCCAAACCTTAAGGGAGAATATTAAATAACTCTTATTGTTTGCATTCTTGAAAAAGGAAATATAACCTGTGCTAATACGAAATAATTGATGCATTTTCATGCGGAAGGTATATTAAATTGCTACAACAAAAAAGGCATTTTAATAACAAGCACTGAACGCTGCTAAATTCCGTTTTCTGTTGAGATTAAAACAAGTGGTGGGAATATTAAATCTATTAACTATTAATTCTTAGACGCGTACAGAGTACGTACTATGGCTAAATTGACACTAAGCATGCTTATAAAGCAAGTTTGAAGCATTGGAAATGAACTTAGACTTTGAGAGATCATCCACTTGGTTCAGAGATTAAGGCACACAAATAAAAAGAAGCCATATATACTTACAAGGAAGAAGGCTTTCTGCATAAATTAAGTCCACAAGAGAAGGCTTTCTACAAGTCCACAAGAGAAAGTTTTTCAAACAGATCTTTGATCAAGTTCGTCCCAAATTGGTCTATTCTGCGAGAAAGGAGAGAGGTGAAAGGTGAATGTTAAATAAGGAAATCTTATAAGCATGTTCCCTCTCTTCAATTGTTGCAAAAAAGAAGATGTACAATGTGCATGAAGAAAAATGGCCTTTCATATCTATTATCAGATTTACAATCACATAATTATATACAACCAAGTGAGCCTTTAAGAGCTGAACAGATTTAGAGCTCAACTAACTATAAATACATGAATCATGTTTACAACCATATCAACAATGCCCTCCTGCTAAGATTTTATATCTTCAAGTCAGCTGGCAGACTCCCTTCCTTCTTCTGCTCAAATAAGTAGCTAGCTTCCCCTCAGCCCGTGCTATTAGGAAATGTGGGAACATGTGGATTCGGAGGTATCTTTCCTGTATTTCAAGAATTGTCCCATTAATGCCTCGATGCCTTTGAAAGTTTAGGGTTAGAAGGACCCTAAAACAGAGAGGAAGTAGAAAGGAGATATTTCTGAGAGCATTGTTGAAGGAAAGAATCATTTTCAAATATGGCAGATAAGCATTCGGAAGCCCCAATTCCTGATGGCTGGTTTCTGAAAATTCTTTGCTGAGATTGAAGGCTGTCTCCAAAAAATGGCTTTTGTTGATTCAAGACAACCACTTTTCCCAACATATTCTCAAAGGGGATGTTAATTTCTCACAGTTTGAGTCGGAAAACATTTTGTAAGTTCAGGAGAATTGGTGGATAAATGAAAATAAGATAAGGAAATATACCTCTTCTGGTAGATCATCGATTCGATAATTTTGAACTCTAGCTAGGTCAGGCTTTCCAATACCAGCACCATCATCGTCTTCATCTTGGCATTCAGAAGCCTCACAAACTTTCACCATTCTCTCTCTCTGTGTCTTGGTTTTTTTCTAATTTTATTTAAAAATTAGTATGGCCGCGCGGCTATACTCGTTTTCTCATAATTTTACAAAAGCCATATAGCCCCGCTGCTTTACTACTTTTGACACGCGGTGCCTAGGCGATAGCCGGGTCTTTTTTAAATATATATAAATAGTATAGCCGGGCGGCTGTACCCCCTTTTTAACTGTTTTTTAAATAGTACAGCCGAGCGGCTATACTCGGTTTTGTTAATGTTTCTGAGAAATAGTATAGCCCCACGGCTATACTCTGTTTTTTTCCTAATTTTTTTAAAAATAGTACCATTTTGTAAGAAACATTAATAAAACCGTGTATAGCAGCACAGCGATACTATTTTTCTAAAAAATACAAAACCCAGTATAGCCGGGCGGCTATACTGTTTAAAAAAAATTAGAAAACTGATGATAGCCGTATGGCTATACTATTTTGTATGAAACATTAATAAAACTGAGTATCGCCGACCGGCTATACTATTTTTTAAAAGAAATCAGAAAAAACCGAATATAGCCGGTCGGCTATACTTCAAAAAAAAGAAAAAAGGAGGACACGCCTTGCGTTTAGGAGCGCACGTGTGAAGATAAGTACAGCCGTGCGGCTATACTATTTAAAAAAAAATTAAAATACCGAGTATAGCCGCACGGCGATACCCTTTAAGCAGCATAATATGGATGTCTCTTTTTTAATTTTGTTAATTAGTAGTTATGTTTTAGTTATTATTTACTTAGTGACTAATTAGTATTTAAATATTTTATGAAATAAAAAAATAGAAAAATTTAATTACTATTTATACTAAACTCATGAAGTTAATTAAAATATTTAATACTAATTATACACTAAATTAATAATAAATAAAATTTAATTACTAATTTAACTAATTAAATAACACAAAAGATATTATTTAATTACTAAAAATAATTAACTAACCTAAACATACTAAGTATATATATATATATATATATATATTTTAAAGAAATCTCTCCCGACAAAAGTTCGTTGGCACATATGACGAAATTTATATATATATTAAAATATTTCATTACTATTTACTATTTATGAAATAATAAAAATAGAAAAACCGATGATAAGATTTGAGTCAGCTAATAAAAATTAAATTTCCATATCGATGAAGCCACTATGTTCAAACTCAAAAGTCATACACTAATGACAGAGACTTTACGAAAAGGAAAATGGTTAAAATTAGTTAGATAAACCTTCATGATTTCAAAATAGCTATTTGAATTCAACCCCTTTATATAGTTTTGTTTTTGTTGATGCTCAAAATGGTTGGGCCATTATTGAGTCCAACTTAGTGATGAGGTGTGATGGATGATGGGTGAAGGTTTGGACCTTCTGCGTGTATGTGAGGACTTAGCCAGTTTATGAATATACAAAAGACAAGATATATGTGGTTCACCCTTAATGAATGGGCTACGTCCACAGAGAAGATGTTCTCATTATGATATTGTTTACATTTGTACAAGGGGATTAGACCCAAAGATAAATGGAAGAAGGCCTAGGGTCTAAGGTACAAAGTTTGGAGTCTGGAGCCCAGGGGTCAAGTCCCCGGGTCTGGAGACCCAGGACTCGAAGGCCAGACTAACAGGAGAGTCCTGAAGAGGAAGCCCAGCTCAGTTTCGGATCCCCCCTTAAGTGGAGAGTGGTATGCTTTTATAGGTGAGAGGGAGCCTTCACTTCTTGTTGTTTTCCGATGTGGGACTCCTCTTGCTTTGCTTAGAGTTCCTTCTAGTCTTCTAGTTGCTTGGTCAGTTATGGTGTCAACAACCACTGTACTCATCACTATCTCCTTCCATTTCCTCAAATTTCCTCATATCCATAGTTTCAATTCACAAAAAACCAAAAATATGTAGGGCCTGTGAGCGAGAGGAGAAGTTGGTTCCTTGTAAGGGTGTGGGAGTAAATGACGATCTTGGTTCCTTATATAATAAACCCTGAAATAGAATCTAGTTTCTTTCGTAGAATTCCTGTCATCAAATATTCCGTCCCCCAAGTCCTCACGCAAGCATTCCTTTCCTTCGCCCGATTTCGCAGCAAGTGCCAAAACTTGAGTACTAGAACTTAATTCCTTTATCAATATTCCATTAACCATTTTAAGCAATTCTCCCTGTAACTTTTCACTAATTGTAGTTCCGAAGAAATAGCACATATACATAATATATATGTATATTATATTCTCAAAGGCCAAGACTTTACGAAAGTGTTGAGATATCCCACATTGTTATTACATTTTCTTTAAACAAAACACGTAGTCTTTGTAGAGAGTATTATTACATGTTCGAAATGGAAGTTGTGCCCTAATAGCTTAAATGATTGATTGGATGCTCACATTCTAATGTTATTATAGAAGATTATCCGCATTTTGAGTCCAACAATTACGTGCGTCACCTAATAATGTGTTGTTCACTGTTTAGTTCGAGTGGCGCCATATGCGAAGTGGCATGTTGAGAGTATTATCCTATATTGGAAATGGAAGAGCTTTGCCTTAATATTTTTAAGAATCATCATAAGATTAAACCTTTTTACCCACTACCAATTGATTTTGAACTGAAAACACACATTATATTAATCTTAACTACTATAATATTTTTAGGAATAATCTTAATTATTTTTTACTTTATTGGCAATTATAGCACCACTTTGACCCAACCCTCTTCAATTTAATGAAATCACTAAAAACATCATGAAGATACTCAAAAACGAAACACATGTGGTGGGCAGTAATTACAATGGATCCAGATTTCACGCCAAAAGAAATATGGGAATTTTATAATCGCACCCGTACAAATTAATCCTCCTCAAGGATTAAAAGTTAACAGGCATGAGAGTTGGCAATTTCAGTCAAGCTAGACACAATGAGGCATGGGATAGCATTG